AACAAGATGGGCTAGGGTTGTTTTGTTTTAATTCCCCTTTTTCTTTTGTTTTGCAACATAACTCACTTGGGCTAGTTTCTTTTGTTTAAGGCCCATTTACCCCATCACTCATTGTTAACAAAACCAATAATATAATTTCGTAGTTGGTCCAATGGCCCAGAGCAAGTGTCACATAGCGGAATCCGTACTAAACCATAACTTAATAAATACTACACGCCACTAACTCACCACTAAAATTGTAACAATACACACTAGTCGAGATGTCACACTTAAATTAAATAAGATCACTGATGAATCAATTAAAAATAACAATGAAATAAATCCATAAATCAATAAATAAAATCCATTTTTTTTAAATTTTCCGGAACTCGGGGCAAGCTAACCTGAGTAACGCGGGGCGTTACACTACGCCTGGCGGAATATCAAGGCAGAATGGCCAGACACTACAATGCCCGCGTTCGACCTCGAACCTTCCAAGTCGGACATCTGGTCTTAAGGAAGGTCCAAACCCATGTGGGTGCCCTTGACCCGACCTGGGCGGGGCCGTTTGAAGTCAAGGGAATAGTCCGACCTGGGACGTACATATTGGCCTATCTGAATGGAGACGTCCTCGCGCACCCATGGAACGCAGAGCACCTGAAGCGTTATTATCCTTGAAATGCCAAAATGGTTTTCAATGGATCTGTAAAAACTGTTTCAATAGGATTATGATCAGAATAAATGTGATGATTTAATTTCATGATTCCGAGTTCGACCAGAAATTAAATGGGGGCCACGGACTCCCACACGATCACATTCCAACAGTCGGTTAAAATTCAATCCTCCAAAACCTAAGGGTACGAGGTGCGATGCCAAAACCACTGATGAACTTAAAATTTAAACCTTCAAGGTAAAGGGGCGATATGAAAAGTTCAAAATGATCAAGCCTCTGAACCTGAGGGTACGAGGTGCGATATGAAGAATAGATACAGACTTAGGATTTTAGCCTTTTAACATTTTTTAAGTTAAGGGTGCGATGTTAAAAAATCCAGAGTTGGTGCAATGCATTGAATACTAGACAGAGATTCAAATTCAAACTGTCAATTATTTTAATTGAAGGCGCGACCTCAAAAGTAAGAGGTGCGAGGTGACATTGGCTACAGTTCAAAGAAAAAGCAAAGAAAGGAAAGATGTTGCCAACACCAAAGTAAAAAACGAACAAAGCTTCTTCATTAAATGGAGAGCAGAGCCAAGGCTTATAGACCTTGCAGCTCTGCCCTGACACTTACAAACAAAAAAGAGAAGAGAAGAAAGACAGCGAAAAGCCTCATGAACGGTAGTCGCTTAAGAGCCTGTTTGAGGAGCGCCATCCTGAGTGGTGTCGACCTGGTCCTCCTCGAGATCGGAGTAGTCAGAGTCCAGATCTCTGACATACTTATCCACCAACGCCTGGGGGCCAGGGGTGCCGCTAGGCCCAGACGCCCACTGCTCGGCATACCTCTTCTTCAGACCACTGAGATCGATCTGAAGGTCAGGCATGTCGGAAGTAAAGCCCTTCATGAGAAACTTGAAGCCCGCGTCAGAAAAATCTTTGGTAAATCCATCGAAGTCAGGATGTTGCCTGAAAGATTCCTCCAACAGGGCTCCGTTGCTGAGACGCTCCTTCGCCGTCTCTAGCTCGGCAGTCGCGCGCGTCAGCTCCTCATCCTTCGCTTCAAGCGCCTGGAGCATGTCGTCCTTCTCCTTGAGGAGTTGGAACTTCTCCTTCTCCAAGCCCTTGGTGATAGCATGGGCAGCTCGGAGTTGGGCCTTGCGTCTGTCCTCTTCCTTCTTCAGCAGCTCGGCCTTGGTCTCCACCTCGGCCTTCAAAATTTCCACCTCAGAGTGAGCCTTCAGCAGCTCATCCTTCATGGTGGAGGAAGCAGCCTCCAAGGCAGCAGAGAACTCCTCTTTCTCCCT